CCTGTGTTCTTTGTTGTTTACTCCTAAAAAACAAAAAGCCAGACAAGTAGGCAAGAGTCAATCCTATAGAAGAAGTGCATAGGCAAGTTGGCATCTATAATATTGTGTTTGCCTAATCAGTGTCAACAGAATCTACAAATCCTTACCTAACGTCAGGCCTGTTAGTCCAACCCTTTCAGTTAAACGGTGATTCATACCACTTTTCACTGGATAAATACCTTTGCTTAACTACAACACTGACATGAGAGAGTCACATCATTATAATCTGAATTGTGGGCAGTGTAATTAATATGTTACTTATAATAGCAAGGACTTATATATTCTCCTTCTATTGATTAGTCATGGCTGCCTCATCTGATCATCCTGAGACCATGAAAGCAACACGGAGTCTGGACAATTCAGAGGTTCAGTCTTTTTCTTAATTATTTCTTCAAATGCTATATTTTATTCAAATTGTACTATAGTGTTGATATGTCAGCTGACATGTTGACTGACATGGTCGACTTGTTGACTAATGTTAACCAATATTGACCAAGACTTGGTTAACATATTGACCGACAGTGAGCAGACATATCGACCGATGGGTGCCTTCAGTACACAAGGTACAAGAAATTTATGATTAAATTTGCATTGTTTGTTTGTAGTCAACTTTAGTCTATTTGTATGGTCACATATGTATACACCTAATTGAAGTTTAAGTGTTTTAGAAAAAAAAAATAAAGTAACAAGTATTTGTAAGCCATTGAATTTGGCATATTTGTCACTATCATAAATGTAACATTTTTCCTTTGGATTTAAAAGGAATCCTTCATTTCTGAAACTCTCAAACAAAACTGTAAATTCGAAATATTGATGGCTATAGTCTAGATCTCTTCAATGGTCTGATTATACCTCTTCTGACCAATGGCATTTCAGTGTGGGGTACTGCAAGTTATAATGAGTATTTCTTTCTAAAATTGATAAGTTTCAGAAGAAAGCAGTTTGTTTGGCTTTCTCAAGAAGGCCATACCTGTTTTAAGCCTTCTACAGGCCTCAGATAATAAGTTGTGAAGAGCATCACAAATTCTACCGAGGTCCCTTTGGCAGATCTCCTCCCACCCACTAAAACAAGATTGCCAAGGAATCGCAGTCACTCTTTTCTACTTCATCAAATTAAAACTGAACATTTTAAACGGCTGTGTTTTATTGATAGGTGTCTTTTCAATTTTCTATAACATTTTTGAATTTTAATATGGAATTATGTTTTTTTTTAATTAATGAGGGCAGGGGGGGCTGGCAACGGCCTTTGATCTTGCCGCTTTTCGGCTTTCCATGATCGCCCAGTTAAGAAATCTGTCAATCATTCGAGAACTGTAGCGAGCATGCGCGAAACGGGCTGAGAACAACAACAACATCAAGAAGTTCGTCTTCGCGGAGGTTCGACTGTGTGAAGTGAATTCGCTTTTGGTCCTGTTGGTCATTGCTTTCTTTGCTGTAACCGGTTTTTTTCCGCAGTAATGTGGGTCTTACGTTTTCCTTTCTTCTGGTCTTGCGTTTGTCATGTTACATTCGGTTTACTGCGCTAAGAACGAGACCAGTGAACAGTAATTGTACATGTACATGTTCGTCGATTCGAGTCGATGCCCGACCTTTTGGCTCACTACAGGCTTTCAAGCTGTGTTTCTTTTTAGAAGACCCATACGACTAGAAAAAGTGCCAACCTTCCAATGCGTATGTAGAAGAGTTTATATTTTCAAGTGAAAGGCCGAAAATTAATCCTTCGTGACATTAAAAAAAGCGCGGTGGCCGTGGTCAAATAGAAGAGTTGTCAAAGTTGTTTACGGTTTTAGTACACCTTTAAGACGAAAAGAAATGAAGATTGAGATTCTTAATTCTTCATCCTTGATTGTGAACTTATCCTGGCGGAGTTGCGTTTGATGATTGAGTGGCATATGGTCAAATCTCGTAGTTCATGTAGTTTGTTATGTAATAGAAGCTATATAAATTTCGCCAAGAGATCATTCACTCTTGATATTCTTTAATAAGTTCTTATCTTCGTGTGATTTAATTTAAACTTTACCGTAGTTTTTAAGAAATGAATATAGGCAAATGAAAGGGTAATTATTTTGTGCGTTTGGAATTCTCTTTTCATGACAGCAGTTACTACACTGCCTTCAGTTTGTTGTTTTGTTGAAAACAAAGAGGTAGAAATTAGAAATATTTTATTCCAAAAGCTAAACTACCCACTGGAACAAGAGTATGGTTTAATACGATTAGCTAGGGTCAGAAAATAAATGTTCAAGTTTGCATGTTTTGACAAGGACTACATCTGGCTAAATATGCTTCAAAGGGAATTTATCAAATTAAAAAAATGATGACATTTCTATTTTTGCCTTTCCTTTGGCCACTGTGATCAGTTTTTGCCATATGGTTGCATGTATTAATGTTTTACACATTTGGACATCAACCTACCAGGTTAGTTTGTGTCTGTGTAAAAATGTAGTTTACTGTTAATGAAATCAAAGTAAAGCCTCTCAACTTAAAAATTGCCTTGTATTAGTGGATATTGAAAACACCATAGGATGTGTTCGAAAAAAAATGTAAAATGATTATTAAGATAATATTAGTTGCAGTCAACAATAACAGTTAGAAACTTGTGTTGAGGCTTGCAAAAATATTTTTCAGAGACCATAAGCCTTCACTGACTTTGCTGTTACAATAAGTGGTAAAAGGGAATTAAAATGTGAGATCACCTCCCTGGGCTTGCACTGAAAGAGAGTATGGGTAGTAGGACACATTGTGCATTTCCCTACCCTCTACCCTTTTTAAGCCAAGAGACATTATAATCCTGATTCATTTCCTTTAGCATACAGAATTAAGGTAGCTTTTAAACTTAGAAGCATGGCAAAACTTGGGGGGAAAATGGTGGTACCAATAGACTGTACTCTATAGACCACAGTGAGTTCTTCTTCAACCTTCACAACCCAAACAGACACCTTGTTCAAACCTCTAAAGGGTGAAATGGTCACCACCCTAAATCAGCAGCACATACCCATCTAGGCCAAATAAGCCAAGGGTAGTATCGTAGAAAGAACTGCTGAGAGGATAGGGCTCAAGCCCAACAATAACTTCTTTTGATGGTTGATAAAAAATCAATTTTACCTTGTATAATTTAGTTGTAAATCAGATTCATAACTTACACAAACAATAAGCTTAAGTTGTATATTTTTCAAGCCTCTTCTGATTCTCTTTATAAACTTTGCAAACATTCATTTTGTTTTTTCTGCTTCTTGTACTTCAGTCCTTTGAGGGATTTTCTCAACGCATACCCTTTCCTGATGTACTCACTCTTATTAGCAACTAAATTAGCCTCTTGTTCTTACACTAAACCACTATTATCATTCAAGTATAATTCATAACTAAAGGGTACTTTTTGTACCAACAATTTCAAGGAAATACCTGAAACCGAAGTAACTATCTAATACAAAACCACTAAACACGGTATTGCTGTTGGAAATTTATTGATTATCAATCCAATGACATTCCAGTGAAGGTTTTGAAGGTTCAATGAACCCCTCCCTGCAGCCTTTTGATATTAAAAATAGCTTATACTGACAGACCCAGTATATGTGAAGCAAGTGATTGGAACATTTACCCTGGTTTTTACTAAATTGGCCCTTTATTCTGTATTCACGCCCATAGATATTTGTTGTGCCTCCCGGTGTACACAAACAAACTTACAAACAGCGAAGTAGAAAATCAGTGGTTTAATGAACATTCACATATGACTGTTGCAAGACCCATACCAATATATTGTGCTCGTAGCATATGTTTAAGATAAGGAAGAGAGTTTTAATACCACTGTAAGTGGAAAAATATAAGAAATGGAGCAAGATGGACGCTCGAAAATTCACGAAGCTTAAAAATAACTGAACTTGCCGAGATCCAGAATCACGATAAGTGAAGTCACCCATGAACTTTTCACACATCACGCCTCCTGATGTCCAAAAGGTCCATTAAAAAAGTTCATAGAAACCTTCTCGTGATGTTTGTACGCGGGAAAACTTAAAACCGAGCAAAAACTCATCCTCCTTCCATTTCTCCATCCTCCGCCATATTTGTTTTCAAGGAAAATTTGTACTCAGTTTCACTCGGCCGAATTTCTTAACTGGGGCGATCATGTAAACTCGGTTCCAGACCTCGCTGCCAGCCCCCCCTGAATGAGGGGCTTATTTATTTATTTATTTATTTATTTATTTATTGTATCAACCTAGTTGATTATATAAAACAAATTTTTGTTTAAATTGCTATTAATTTGTTTTCTTTCATTTTCATTTTTTTCTGTGACTGGTGTACTATTTGAATAAGGTTTAATTATCTTTTAATGCTAGTCCATTAGCACTGATCATGATTAATATAGACATCACTTATTGATGACTTACATGCAATAAGTTCTTATACATGTAAGAAGGCACTTTTCTTCCCAACTAAATTTTTCCATATACATGTAAGCTCTCTTTTTGCCCAAGACCCTGCAAGTATTGTGTAAGAAACTTAATCATTGTCTTATTAGTTTTAGATGACAAGAGATCAATGCAAAGAGTTAGAAATATAATTATCATGGTGATAATTTTTTTATTAAAAAGCAAATTATGTCGGCATGGTGTAATAAAAGAGGCAGGGTAGCGATGAAATTTTGTGCCAAAATTAAGGAGTAATTCACCACCCATGATATTAGTTTCAGCTATCCCTGAAAAGTCCCATAATAATGATAATGATAATGATAATGATAATGATAATGATAATGATAATGATAATGATAATGATAATGATAATGATAATGATAATGATAATGATAATGATAATAATAATAATAATAATAATAATTATTATTATTATTATTAGAACAGAAGAGCCAACAGTTTACCATGTACTAAATCAGTCATCAGTTACCAAAACCTGCTATGTCTTTTGAGCCAAAGATCTCCTAGCTATTCATTGTTATTGCCATGTTTACGTAGGTTTGCTCTCCTGAGACCAGTGTTCCAGCGTTACATGTTACTCTTCTTGGTGGTGAGTGGAGTTCATCTGCTGGTGGCTTGTCAACCATAAACAGAGAGCTTGCTATTCACCTTTCAAATCATTCAGCAGTGAAGGTTTCTTTGTTAGTCCCCGAGGGAGCTTGCAATCATGAAGAAAAAAATGAAGCCCTTACCTATGGAATCACTATCGTTGAGGCGAAGAGACGTGCCGCATTTGATCGTCTTCTTTGGTTAAGCTCACCACCCAAGGATCATGTCATGGACATCGTTGTTGGTCATGGTGTAAAACTTGGTCGGCAAGTACAATTCATTATAGACTCTGCTAAATTTCCAAATTGTAACTGGATACAAGTGGTGCACACTGCTCCAGAGGACCTTAGCAGATACAAATGCTACAGTGACCCCATTTCAAAAGGTGAAACAAAACACGAATCAGAAGTTGAACTTTGCAAACTTGCTGATCTTGTTGTGCCTGTGGGACCTAAACTGAAAGAAGCATACACTTCATATTTGCAGCGATGTAAGACAGATCATGACGTTTTGTCTATTACTCCAGGTCTTTTTCAAAGGGAGTTTGAGGATTTAGTTGCAAAACAAGATCCTAACGAGGATGGTGAATTCAAGGTGTTGTTATTTGGTCGTGGGGATGATGAGGACTTTGAACTCAAAGGATACAACATTGCTGCTCAAGCATTTACTGATCAGCGGTTAAAAAACAAACCCTATCATCTAATCTTTGTCGGAGCACCTGAAGGAAAACAAGAGGAAGTCAGAGAAAAACTTCTTCATCATGGTATTGCAGAAGCACAGTTGACTGTTAGAAAATTTATACAAAGTAGAGAGAGAATGAAAGATCTGTTGTGTGAAGCTGACCTTGCCATTATGCCATCAAAATCAGAGGGATTTGGTCTTGTTGCCCTCGAGTCCCTATCTGCAGGCCTACCCATTCTTGTTGGTAGTAAGTCGGGTTTCGCCAAAGCATTAGAGAATGTTCTTCATGGTTATTCATGCATTGTAAATTCAGATGATCCTACAAAATGGGCAGAAGCAATTGAAGCTGTTCGTGTCTGGCATCGAATGCGCCTTGAAGAGATTAAAGCACTTAAAGCATCTTATGGAGAGATGTACAGTTGGGAGGAACAATGCGAAGCTCTCGTGGAGAGAATGTGGAAAATGGTCCATGGTAAGAGGTTTCGCTGTAAAGGAGTAAATGACAAAGCAAAATGATGAATATGAGTAATACAGTCGACTCCCGATAACTCGAACCCTCGCTAACTCGAACCTCACGCTAACTTGAACCAAAATCGATTTCGCCTGGATTTCCGTCTTACATTCACTGTAATTTTACCCTCGGTAACTCGAACGCTCGATAACTCGAACTCCCGCTAACTCGAACCGATTTTCGTTTACCGTCATTTCATTTTCTATATAATTTTATCCTCGAAAACTCGAACCATGTTTTGAGCCCTTAAAAAAGTCGGGAAAAATGCCGTTTACTGGCGTCCGAAACATTGAATTTTGGATTTCCTATTGACGTGTTGTAGGAGTATAGTTTACCAGTGGAGGCTAATGTTGATTGTCACAGGCTAACGTGAAGCAGCTTTTCTTCTCAAAACAGTAAAACGCATGCTCTATTTAGGCTATGTTTTGTTACGTTAAGTTGTGATTTATAATCTAAAACTATCTTTTCATTTTCACTTGACATTTCTACAATGAAATGTGATTAAAATGTTCACTGTGCAGTAAAAACTCTTTTTTACCTTACTCTCGGCTATTTTCTTCGAACTCCCGATTACCCGAAACTCTTTGCGATTTCCCTGGAAGGTTCGAGTCATCGGGAGTCGACTGTAGTTACAAAATGCTATTGACTGTTCCGAGGAAAAAGCCCACAAGGCATGAGAAAAGTACTGTACACATGCAGTTTTGACTTTTGCCTACATGTTGAGAACATAATTGTAATTGTAATTGGGGCACTGCACAATCAGCTTTCCTGAAATATTTTAGATGTTTATGGTATTCTTGGCTCGATTGGCAGCGATTACTTACCTATTGATTTTGTTTTTTTCCGGTAATTTCCCATTCTAGTAGTGTTGATGTAAAGAAGTTAACTGTGACTGCAGTCTTTGACTGTTATAAAAAATTACACACCCTTTTGAAGTAAATAATTCATTCATAGTAGGCATTAACAGTAGTATTACAGCATGGACCGAGTGGAAATTAATGTCTTTGACCATTTGAGGTACTGTGTGTAAATTAAAATAAGTGATAAATGTGAATGTCCTATCATGAAAAATATAGATAGCTGAAGCAGTACAAAGTAGGCAGTCCACTGGATAGGGCAATGATATGCGATCCTAAAGCACTTTCCATTACAGCACACCAAGTAGATATTTTGTATTTAATAGTTTTCTATAAAAACAACTCTACACGCTATTAACTTTCTCTTCAGCGCCAAGGGACCTTCGTTGTTTTCCCCTCACAATGAAACTATTTAAGCAATAGACCACACTTTCTATGGGTTTACCGGCGTGATAACCCACGCGGGATGTTGGGAGAACACGAGAAAAGCTTGTAAATCACGAGCCGAAGGCGAGTGATTTACAAGCTTTTCGAGTGTTCTCCCAACATCCCAAGTGGGTTATCACGCCGGTAAACCCATAGAAAGTGTGGTCTATTGCTTTTATAAAATACCTTTTAGTAGAATGGAGTCTTTTAGGTAAAAAATATGGTTTTAGTACCGTGATCAAGTCATTACTTCTCTCTAAAGTCATCATAAGCCAATCATGACTCACGATTTAATAGCGCTGAACTTTCTCAAAACTCAGTTCAGTCAAACAACAAACAGCAGCACTTCAAAACACGAGTTTTTGCACTCATTACATGATAACTTATGAAAGCTGTTTTACAGGAAAAGTCAACATTTATTCATGCGAACGTACAATGAAAGAATACGTTCATGGTTTGTTTACTACAGAAGTAGAAATTAACTGAACATCAGACTCTACGCAGCTGTATTTTGTTGAGTCGATCCGTAAGAATTTCGTGCTTACAGACGGAACTGGCAGCTATTGTAATGGAGGACTTCATTCACATTTTACAAGCCGCAGTGGTTTAAGATCTGTTTTCTGGACTTTATTATGATTAAGAAATGCTGCGGTAACGACGTGGCTGCATTTGCGAAGTTGTTTCATGTAACTTTATATGCACGTACTGCGACCGATGGAAATATGTCAGTGGTGGAGAAAGGTTTCTTTGCCGTAGCCACATATTGGCGTTCATATTTGTCGATTTGTAAAGTCAGGTGGTTTGAGGTAGGTTATGGCATCGATAATCGCCGAATAATTTGTGCAAATGTTGTAAAAAAACCAGCCCGAAACTCTGACATCTTTCATCATCGTTGGCAGCTTGTTTACAACCTACAGCGGCCGATTTTGTACTATATCTTGATCAGAGATCTCTTTTTGGAACAATTTCTTTCATTATGGAATTTAATTTTGACATAAAATAAATCAAGAATGCTAAAACTATTCGTTTTGTTGCTGGTTGGCACATGGTTAAGTTTTCCTGGAGACTTTCAACACCAGAAATTCACACAGTTGTTGTCTTTCTCTGCCCTTGGCATCGTCGTGAAATGTAAACTGCTTTCCAGCTTTGTACTTTATTACTTCTAAAGCTATGGCAGTAATAAAATGTGGAAACCAACGCTTTTGATATTAAGAAGGGCTGGGTAAGTAACTTGTTCTGTTTTTTAGCCTTTCTAAATCATTTTTTGCAGATCAATAGACGGTTTTGTTTATGGCTCGTGGTCCGGATGCCTTTTTCTATGGGTTTACCGGTATAATAAACCATAGGTTTTTGACCAATCAGATCACGCGTACTATCTCAGTTATTTTATAAAACATTATAACCAACCAACAGGGTCTGAAAATGGCAACAAGCCAAGAAATGAAGAAACTTTCCGTGCCGAGAAGAGAGCTCATTTTGCAGCAGGAAGTCAACCTAAAAGTAGCTGTAAGCTTATTCCAGGTATGGAAAAACATTATCCGCTTCCTCTTGCTTTTGGCTTCTGGTGTGAGCGAAGGTTGGGGTGAGAGGTCCCTTTTTGGTCACTGAGGAGTGTCTACCGTATAATTTGTAGTAGTGAAAAAACCATACTGCCCACTCACTGAACGTAACTGAACAGACTGTATTTATGTGTCACATCTTCTAAGTTGACTACACGTAGCTTACTAACCGACGCACCGTAATGTTATTTCAATCAGTTCAGCATTTTATTTAGTGTGGCAAGAAAATACACAAAAAGAGAACTTATTAGGATTCTGCCTACATGTTGACATTTCTCAATAGGTTTATCTTTACCTCCAGACATTGGTACCATGAAGGCATCGTTATCCAGACCTGAGTAAAGAGTACAGCAGGACATAATAATTCGTTAAATTTTAACAAGACAAATGCAATTTTGCACTAAATATTGCACGCTTTCAACTGCCGACGGAATGCTGCTCTGATTAAACATATACAGGATACGTACAACTTGGACTTGAAATCTGTGGGCATCGGATCTCTTGAAACTGAATTTCAGTATCCCTCCCTCAAGAGGATAGAGGACTATCGATCTGGTCACCCTAATGACATTGCTGAGAGATACCATGTGTCTCAGACGAGAACAAAAGTGTGCAAGTCTTTAACAGAACTGCTACCCTTTATACCACTCAGATTTAACAATTTGCTAGTGAATGACTCAAATCTGGGAACCCGGTTAATACACACACTAAGTAGACTAAAATAAGTTTTGTCAACATTTTTATTTAGTTTCTTATTAAATAAAAGGCTTATCGTTTCTCGGCGACTTACTTTTTGTTTTCAGATATAATTACCAAGCATTGTTTTCAAGAACTGAATGATGAACAGAGTAAAATAGTCCGTGAAACTCTAGAACGACAAATTCAAGTGTACATCCGATTTCGTAACATTTCAACCGCCGAGGGGGTGTCTGGCCTGATAGAACATATACAGGAGACGTACAACCTGGCGTTGAAATCTGTGGGCGTAGGATCTCTAGAAATAACATTTCAGTGCCCCTCCCTGGAGAGTCTTGAACGTTTGTGGAGTGATTATCAGTCTGGTCACCTTAATGACGTTGCTGAGAGATACCTTGTGACAGATGACATAAAGAAGAAACTGGACTTGAAGAATGTCAGGTTGAAGACAACGATTGAAGATGAAAACTACCGGATTTGCAAGAATATTTTAATGGAAAAATCATGTGAGTTTGGAAGCTCCGTGTAAGCTATTGACTGTCTGCAGTTTAGGCTCAAACAATTGAAAGCTGAAATCAAATCCAAAAAAAGTGATTAATACCTTTTGCTTACGTTCGGCCAACATTGACTGGTTATCTTTTCTGCTGCAAACCTATTACGTTGCTCCTTGTTTCTTACGACATTGTTACATTTTCACTGCAGCAATCGTGGTGCATTATGTAACGATGGTCAGCTTATCGAGCGCATATAGTTACTTTCCTAAAAACGTTTTCGCAAACAGACACATAAATAATAGCGCATTAAACAATTAATCGACATACGATAAGCTTTCATAACAGAAGTGAAATAGATATATTGTGGTCATTAAATGAACAGTATTTAAAGGTGTCTCTAAGTTGAAGTTTCACTGTTTACCAGCAGTGCAGTAATTTATCAGCCTGTGTACAGCCCCCGTCTCCTCGGGAAAAAATCGGAGCTTTCCTGATTTTTTCTTGAGAGGAGAGGATGGCTGTACACAGGCTATAAATTTATTTACTGTGATGATTTTCGGGGAAGACAGTACATTCACGACAGATAAACTTAATGCATATTTGTTATTTCATTCTCTGTTAGCAGTCAGCAGTGACTTTTCTCCTTCAACTCAATCAGATCAAGAAGCAGCTTTACTAGCTGCTGACACAAGCTCAGATGTTTCTGAGGTAGGCCGCTTTGAAATCGAGGGGGCAAGCTCAGTCGTTTCTTAAGCAACAGTTACATAGGTGCTGATGAAGAGATTTTGGTTGGTCCTTTATTTAAGTGTATTGTGCGGGGTCGCACTCTGCATTTTAATGACTGTCTTGTCAATTCTGAAGAAACAATAACTTTTAATTAGTTGGAATTCAGTGTGCGCTGATATAATGACAAGATTAAGTTTAGAGGCGAGTAGTCTTCTTAAAAACCGATTTTTATGTCACTCTTATGTGTAAGGTGTGTGAATACACTAAGAAATGTTATGGCAGTCACAAGTGAATGTTTCTTTTGCAAATACAAGTGCTTCGCCATAGAGAACTTTCAGTTAATGGTCACTGTGTTATTCGTTCTAGAATAAGAAGCTGGTCCTGACCCATATGGAGAGAGCTGAGAGGGCAAAAGTAAGTTTGCTGAGTTATTAGGTTGTGTTACTTCTAGCCAAACTTTTTCCGGAAATAGACAATCCAGATGGTTGGATTGTCGTGGTAGGTAAAACAAGATTGATCCATACGGTAGTACGCTGCTGCACTGATCTCTTTCGCAATTTCCTAGCATCGCTTTTAAATTTTTCCGCTAGTTGAAGCGTTTTCTCGTAGAGCAATGGAAGGGAAAGTACCCCTTTGACTAGTAGCGGTTTATACTGCGGCTCGTCAACTTGAGATTATCTGGAATTTAAACCAAAAGAACTCAGATAACAACTACGAAACCTCAAATGCTGAGAGATGAACATTTTACGGTGAGAAACGCCAAGCGTTTTCGTTTGCGGATCATGAGTTACAGTACCATATTAAGAGTTTGATATACTATAGCCTTCAGGTGGCCTTTAACTGATATATGACAACGGAGAAGTATGATTAAGAACGCTCTTAGTAGCGTGAGTCTCGCTTGCTTGGAGATAAATTTTGTTGTCAAAGGCGCCGTTACTGTTATACTACTTTTTCGTTTGGAATTCAAAACGAGTGTTATATGTCATAATGAAAATACTCAAAAATTGCTAGGAGAGACAGGCCGCACAGCTTCACTCCGGTGTGAAACCTTTGAAAACCTTCTACATATTTATATTGCTCCAGTGAGGAGAACTCTTTCAGGGATTTTACACTAAAAAATTGAACTATGATTTTTATCAGTATCAGAAGCCCGTGACTCTGTCAGTATAAATATATATAGCCTCTTTGCAGCGGACCAAGATACGGCTCGGTACATTATATGTTTGTGTAAGTTTAGCGGAATCTTATACAACAGACAGTTAATTCAGTTCGCGCGTATTCCTGCGGAATTTGTTGTCCGTTTTAGAAGATATCAAAAGAGACTCATTTCCATACAATGAAAGTCGTCACGATTCTTATCCCCAGTTTCCGCGTTCTCCGCTAGGAACGCCTGGCCTACAATTTAAGTCCGCACACACACACACACAAAAAAACGCCTGCATGTTTAGAGTCTCGCTCTGCTAAAGCAAGCTCGACTAACAACGTTTGCCTGTTTATCGATCCCCTGATGAACGAGTACATTCTTGAGATCGAGAGCCAGTGTCGTTGAATGAAACAAAAATCTGAAAAGAGATTGAGATACCAATCTGAACGATCCTAGTGCAAAGGTGGATCGTTCACAATGCAGTTGAAATGGAAGGTTTTTTTTTTTTCGCAATATCCAGATTTAAATTGGTGAAAAGGAGCAGCGAAACGTAAGTGCACTGTGCTCTCGTTGTTAATTTACAGTGGTTACCACTAATACGCGCCCTCGAAGGGTTTTTTCTCTCTGTTGAAACCTGAGCTTTCGTGGACGTCAGTGAGCTATTTCCATGGTTTTCTTACGCTGACATGTTCTTCCAAGTGCTCGAGAAATGGGGAAAGAATCTTCCCTAGGCCAACGTGTGAAAAAATATGGTAACGGTTGACTGACGTCCACCAAAACGCAGGTTTGAACCGAAGAAAAAAGCCTTTGAGGGCGCGTTAGTGGTAACTAACTTTTAGTGGTAACCACTGTAAGCAAAGCAAATTAAATTTTAAAAACGTCTCTTGGTGGAAGGATTGAAAATGGCATATTTTTGACGACTTAAACATAAATCAAACAAAGTGGAGTGCAGTACTGAATCATTTTCTCTAGCATTGATTAAGATACAGACAGTAACATTTCGAAAAATTATAAGTACGGAGATACATTTACGGCGGGATAGTTAGACCCAAAAGAGAGGGTGATCTAATTATAACATAGTAGATAACCCAGGGGTATTTGGGCTGATTGATTTGGCTTTTATCAACAGGATTTTCAAGAGTGGGTGTCCTCTCTTGGGATTATGTTTTTTTTTTCATTTTATTCACTCTGATAAAATTTATTTTTTGAAATAGGCATCTAGAGGCCCTCTACATAAGGCTGCAATCAGTGGACAGTGCGAGAAGGTCAAAATGCTTCTTGAAAGTGGCCAAGATGTGGATAAAAAAGATCAGGTTTTAGTCTTCCCCGGTCTATGTAAATCTAATGTTTGTGGGTTCTTACATTCTTTTCTTGCTTTAGTAGATAATCACGCGCATGCACTTGTGTTTGAATAAGAAGCAAGAGCCTGCACGAAACCTTTGAGTACTGTACGCTTTGCGTTCATGAAGAAACACAGCATTCTGATTGACTGGTAGTGAAACAGGACGGGAAAATCACAAATTCTGTTTTAGCGCATTTTCTACAAAAAGAATTGTAACGGCTTTATCTTTTATAATCCAGTACTTGCTGATAGTTTCTGCACATTCTCGGATTAGCTTTCATTTTCTTTCATATTAATAATAGGCACGAAGAAGTTTGCTGGAAGAATTGAGGCAATTTTCTTCAAAAGTACTTCATTAGGCAAGAGTAAAGCCTTTACCCCTAAGATGCAGTATTTAAGGCCATGTTCTTTACCCGAGTGACTTGCTATTAATGTCTGATGGCGTTTCCTGTTAAATTCATGGGTAAAGAGCTAAATATAAACTGAGTTCTTGATGTTGGGAATGGTTTCACACTCAAATAGTGCAGAAGTCAACGTACATGTAAGAGTCAAGAAAAATTCCGAAATTCGCTTTGACGCAGGTTATAACAAATGTCAACTTCTGTCACCAACAGACTATTGGGTACTTTGCTCACCCAGACGATCATATCCAAACTTCTTTAATATACGAGTTTGTAACGATGGATAGTTATGGAGACTTTAAACTTGGGGAAATGACCCGCCGTGAAATAATTAAAGTTTAGGCGAGACAGAAAATGAAAATGATTTTTTCATTTGTCTGGTTTTGTTTGCTCGTTTTCTCGTTTTACCAGCCTGAAAATGTTACAACTTTGTTTTCGCAGTATAAAATAAGCAGTGTTGGAATGTAACAGGCAGCCTTCTTCCATCAATTTCTTATGGACAAGGACCCGTAAACTTTACGTTTGGACTCAGTTTTAGTGTTACACTTGGGCTCCTCCTTGTAAACGGAAGAAGATAAATTAGTCCAGTAACAGCCTTTAGTTTTACTTTATGAAAGACCATCATTATTGCTGGACAAGCTGGCTTCCTTCCCTTTTTTTATAATTGCTTTTTTCTCCCTATTTCTGTAGTTTTCTTTGACTCCTCTTCATCTTGCCTGTTGGTATGGACAGAAATTTGTTGTCGAACTGTTGTTAGAACACGGTGCAAACGTCAACGCTAAGGACAGGGTTAGTGAATTCTTTACATTGAACAATGATATGAGCATAAGTAACAGCGACGTCAACGAGAACGGCACAAAAGCAATAAGTTTATTAGGCAAAACGCCAACTTTGAGCGTGCATCACGCTTTTTTGAATTTTTCTCTGCCGTCCATTGTTCACGACCACGACGTGAAACTTAATAATTTCACGTTTTATGTAGGACGTGAACTCAAGACAACGATTTGAATTTTCTTTTTCTAAACTTAGAAACAGACCTTTAGAGTAAGGTGCCGTCGCTGTCGTGGTTGCTAGGGTGCATAAGCAACGGCGATGGCGACGGTTACGAAAACGTCACTCAATAGGCCACTTGCTCTGAGGTCACGTGACCAATGCTTCCTTTAAACAATGAGTTGGAATCTTGCTGATGCCAAAAGTTGACGTTAGTTGAAGTTAAAATTATCTTACACCCGAAATTTGAGAGGAAGTGCATTTAAGGGAGATATTTTATGGCACTTCGATTTTGGTTAAAAAAAAAGTTTAGAAAGGATAGAAAAATTGGTTGTATTTGAGGCCCTATTGAAAAGCCTTCCCTGTTTGCAATGGCCTGCGTAGCAGGCGCTTGGAAGTCGTAGGCACAAGAAAAAACGGGCGCACGGGCGCGCGAGAAGGAGACACGCGAGGGGAGAGGTAGCTCCCTCACCCCTCGCGTGTCTCCCTCGCGCGCGCCCGTTCTCTCTTTTGCCCACTACTTCCAAGCGCCTGCTTCGCAGGTTGTGTTTTCAATGTTCTTGAAACTTGCAGGGTGTATCTATTGACGATTAATCTCGGAATTCTCAAGTGTATAAAAAAATTTATTTTTTCGAATAATGCGTAATTTGTAGGCATGGATCAAATTACGTGCAAAAACTGTAACAAAAGCAGCTGAATGCGGGTTAATAAAATTCTTCTAACTCGCGATCGCCCGGAACAATTCCCGTCTTTTTTGGTACGCGGTTTTCAATGGAATCAAACCACTATGAGATGAAGCCGCGTTTCCAAAGCTTATAATTTTCTTAAAATATTAGCTAATTGTGTGGATAGCATGCCATTTCGCTGTTTTTACGTTTCTTAAAACTTCGTTTCGAAATATTTCAAATTGTTCAAACTTTGTCATAATTGAGGCAATTATGGCAGGTACATACTCCCTCAAGCGATTTCTTAAAAAAAACTCCTAGTACAGAGAAACACAAAGGTAAATAAAAAACGTTATGGCGTCATTACGTTACCATGGCGACTCCGATTGCAATAAAACCCAGATCATAAGAAATGTTTATCTTATTTAATGCAGTTGTGGTAACCTTTTTCCCATATCTTTACTCGTGCCGACGTAGTTAATGCTCAAACTTGGGAGGTATTCCCGCTAAAAAATCCAGTCAAGCCACCTTAATGTTAGGTGAAAATCACGACAAAACAAGCACATAATAGCCCTGTCACGTTTGTCACGCACAAGCATTTCAGCCGTCCCTCTTTCTGCCACGCTGTTGCGTAAATTCAAATTTGAGTTTTAGCATCGACGAGGGCGACAGCATCGAAAATGTCACTTTTAAAATGAACTAGCGGTTTTTTAGACTTTGTTACGTTTATCCCAATTCGCTGAAAATGTCTAATGTTAGGGAGAAAATTTCGTCGTCGCTTGTTTACTTCCTCCATAAAACGCATGGTTCGTACGATCCTTGAAAAGTCCTTGAATTTTCCCAGAAGACCTTGAATATTTTTGAAAGCTCCTTGAATGAAAATAGCCTTCATTTGAAAAAAAAAAAATGAATAAAGGAAAGATTTGAAAGCACTGCAATATGTAAAGGTTTTCAGTCATGAAAGTGTGTTTTCATCTAATTTCGGTGTTTCCAGCATCATTCATTTGCCGTTAAAAAAGTGTTTCACGCAAAGGAAAGATTTGAAAGCACTGCAATATGTACAGGTTTTTGGTCATGAAAGTGTGTTTTTATATAATTTTGGTGTTTCCAGCATAGTTCATTTGCCGTTGTTTGTAATACCCTACATGTAGGAACTATGCCTTCCTGGGGGAAGGTACTGCAATCATTGCAATAAGCAAACCCCCCTCTACGCATTTGGAAGTACTGATATTTTAATATTGTTTTGAATTGGAATGACGATGTCAACGTAGAAACAGAACGAGCCAAACCTCTACTAAATTTACTTAGGATTTTAACAGTGGATAATGTTTATCGCCTTCGCGATTAAAAATTCATTTCTTCGTGGCATAAAGGCATGCTAACTGAAGTATTTGATGAGATGTTTTCACCTGCCTACACACTGACTTTAATTGGATGGTGAGCTAGAAAATCTACCAGTTTATTTAGCTTCTCAGCTCGCGTTTTTTATGTTCCTTATATTATAAAGTTATAACCTAGTACAAATTTTAGTTCTGTAAAGTCAAAAATGTTATTTCTCCATGAGATAAACAATTATGTATTTATCTATTATCAAAAAGGCGAAAGGCTCAGTGTTTGTTTAATAAGAAGCTGAAACTTAAGGAGATCGAGTAAATCAAGAGGGAAAAGGGAAGAGTAGATTCCGATATATGTCTGAAACACCAGACAAACTTTGCTTGAAAGCAGAAGCCACATGTAAATTAACTTTTGTCACGCTAGCCGATTGCCAATTCGCTCATAAAAACTCAATGACAAATACAAAATGCAAGAATTAGCTGACGTGGATGCAAACATTAATGCCAGTTTGCAAAAGCTCAATCAATAGTCTAGTCAGATTGTGTCTGTAGTAGTCACAATCTGGACATTTTCGACAGATATTGTATTTTACTTCATGTCATTCTATGTTAAAATACGGGGGGAAAAAGTCCTTAAAAAATGATTTTTGTCCTTGAAAAGACGTTGTTCCCCCCCTCCTCCTCTTCCCTAAATTCTGTAAGAACCATGAAACTTGAAAGTGGGCATTTTCGTGTCGTAGTCGTGAAATGACGACAACGATATGTACAAAAAAAAACGTGATGCACTAGCAAACTTTTGTTTTACTTAATAACGGCCTGTTTACATGGAAGTGGGGGAGCCCAGGTAGGTGAGGTAACGCGCCTCTTCATATTATCTCTCAATTTAATTTGATCACGTTTACATGATAGATGGGGTGACCCGCCACATGTTACCTCACCTGCCTAGGGTCCCCCACCTCGATGTAAACAGGCCCTTAACCTATTGCTTTTGTGACGTTCTCGTTGCCGTCGCTATGGTCGTTGCTAAAACTCCCTATAATCGTGGCATGAGACGGGTTGGGCAAGGAAAGCCGTTGTCGCATATGAAACTCTTTACGGAGGCCAATTGAATTTACCGTAGCAACCTTGTTGATATATCCGCCATTTAACAATGTATGCCTGCTATTTACATGCACTTGTTAATTGATCTTTTTGGTTGTTCTACCGTACCAGTTGTTTTTGTTTGTTATCCACGGGAAAATTAGGCGTCTTAAATTAAACAAGACTCTATGGGAGCGTACACTTCGGCTTCGCTATCGTGGATCAATTGGGAATGCCAAGGAATAGAAAGAAATGGGATGTCCTTTTATGCAAATACCCTTACTTTTCTCCTTTTGTGCAACAGATTCAAAATTGCAATAGGCACGCAATACGTGCGAATGTAAACAAGCCAAGTAAACAAGCCAAGTGACGTGAATGATTGCCGTGCGCTGTGTCACAACACAGCATTTATCTTCATAACATACGACCCACAGATAACGCACGGCAAACAAATTGACAATAGAAATCAAACTTTTTGGAAACACAAGGTACACTAAGTAAAACAAACTATTAAGTAATTTAAATTTCCATTTGGAAAATAATCCTCCTCACAGCACATGGTGTGATTGGTTTGGCTTATTGCCTAGAGTTTGACAATATTTTTGCTCTCAGTTGTCGAGCACCAAAGATGTCACGCAAAATTCCATGATCTCGTTCATGACAATTAAGGATAACATTAAATGGTGCATAATTTCATTGCATATTTTCGGAAAAGAGGTGACTTCTTGAAATCTCATTGAGCAAAATGACCTTGCATTCTTTCACGGTCGAACCGTAAAAGCGGCAGAGACCAACATCTTCTCTTGCAATTCGCGTTCTATTTTTAAAACCCTTGGGTTAATTAGGTCAAGTCACGTTACGTCCGGCTGCTCCTTGGTTTAAACCTGAGATCAATGTGAAAAAGAGCAGACGCAGAATGTTGGAGAGGCGCTGGCGTACCTCTTGTCTGACTGTTCATGGTCAGGAATATGTTAGTCAGTGCAAAACTGTGAATGATTTCATTCACCAGTCGAAGATGGAATATTTTTCTATTCTGGTCGTTGATCATCAGTCGGACCCTAAAAAATTATTTGCTACAGTTGACGGGTTTTTACATTTATTGGGCGAGAAAAAGCTTCCCCATTGTGACAACTCTCAGTTATTCGCTGAAAAATTCGCTGATTATTTCACAGAGAAGATCTCCAAAATCAGGGCTGGTCTTGATTCTAGGATGAGTCAATTAAATGACTGAAATTTCTACACTCGCAACATTTCCAAAGTTTCTTGCTCAAACCTGAGCAAATTTCAACCCGTTTCATCTGATGTACTATCGAACATCATTTTCTCGACGATGTCAAAGTCCTGTGATCTCGACCCGCTTCCTGCTTCAGTTTTAAAAGGAACTGTTGACATTGAGATTGTTAATTTGTCACTTGACCAAGCTCTTGTCCCTCATGTCTTCAAAGAGCCCTTGTGAATCCCCTAATTAAGCATCCAAGTTTAGACCCAGAACAATTTCCAAATTATCGTCCAATTTCAAATCTCATGTTTATCTATAAATTATGTGAACGGGTGGTAGCTGTTCATCTGACCAAATATCCAACTGATAATTTCCTGATGGAACAGTTCCAGTCCGCTCATAAACCCAGTCACAGTACTGAATCAGCACTTTTAAAGGGTCAAGATGACTTTTTACAAGCCATTGACAATGATCAATGCAAATATTTATGCTCCGCGATCTCTCAGCAGCGTTTGATGCGGTTGATCATTGCAGTTTGCTTTCTAGACTCACCGACCGATTTGGCATAGATGGCAAGGCGCACGACTGGTTCAAGTCATATCTTAGTGGGCGAATGCACTTCGTTGATATCGGTAGTGCCCGCTCATCCAGTCTGCCTTTGAATTGTGGGTTTTCCCAGGGGTTTGTTTTTGGTCCGATATTATACCTGCTTTATGTCAACACATTGGGTGACATAATGAGGCATCACAACATGTCTTTCCACTTTTATGCTGATGATACTCAGCTTTATGTATCATTTAAGTCTTCTATCTCGGGTGATCTTTCTAGGGCACCCTCTACGTTGGAAGCCTGTGCTCGTGATATTAATAAATGGATGTTATGTAATAAAATTAAACTTAATGATGATAAGACGGAGATGCTGAAGCACCGTCCTGCTCCTCTGCTTGATCAACTTCAAGTAGCCACCTCATCTGTCACCTGTTCCACTTCTTCAAATAATATTGGAGTTGTTCTCGACTCGACGCTTTCACTTGACAAACACGTTACGCAAATTTTCAAATCTTCGTTTTATTCTATCAGGAACATTTCGCGCATCATCAAGTCCCCAGACAGCGAAGATCCTCGTCCACGCATTAGTTACCTCTAAGCTTGATAATTGTAACTCTTTGTTTTATGGTCTCCCTAAGAACTTATTACAACGTCTGCAATATGTTTTGAATTCTGCAGCTAGGCTTGTCACCTTGTCAAGAAAATCAGGTCACGTTACGCCACTGCAGTTACATTGGCTGGCTGTTGAACAGCGAACTGAATTTAAAGGGCTATTTTACATATAAGGCGATGCAAGGCATGGCTCCTCAGTACTTAAGTGATCTGCTAGGGCCTTACTCTCCATTGCGTAGTTTGCGATCTACTTCAAAACTGAACTGACGGATATATCTCCCAAAATAATTATTTTTTGTTAATGGCGTTAATTTTCTATTACTTGAGGTCGGCTAAAAATTGCTAGGTGACTGTTCCATTCATGTACAATAGTCCAGTTTGGAATTAAAAATTACCGCTGAATACAAACATTAACGGCACATTTATACAGGGTTAGCCTCGACGTAAAGTAAAATATTCAGGAATTCCGCAAGTAAGTGTTTAAAATTGGAATATACACAATAGACAGAGTAATAAACAGGTCTTTTCCTCGTTGGAATTGGTGAATATATTACTTCAGATGGAGGCTAAGCCTGTAAAAAATGCGTCTTCACTTCTTTAATTCAGCGGTCATGGGGAACTCGAAACTGGACTATTTTCGAAGCTTACCTAACAAATTCGATTTTCTGAAGTTTAATCAGTTCACATTTCACTCCCCAGGTTTAGCTATTTTAATATCGTAGTAAAAAGGAAACCTAAAATTTTCGGATTCAATAATGCCGTGAAGAGAGAAATTAGAAAAATTCTCACTTTCGTAAAACGTTAAATTGCATCTAAAATTTTCGGGAAAGTAATACTGAAGCCCTAATAATTTCGAAAAGACTTAAGTTGCCCTAGGATGACCGAACAGATACATCTCGTTACTGGTACTGTTATGTTTCTTCTTTATCTCCTACATATTTAAGAGTCTACTCCATCGCTTATACACCAATTACGGAATGATAATGAGCCACTTTTCAACTGTCAAAGGGGGTTTCATGAATTGTAATACACCTTTAACAGAAGGGGATTATTACTAATATGTTTCCTATAAGACCAACTCATCGCCTACGGGAGGATACGTTTTATGCTTTAAGGTTATCATTTGATCTTGTTACACAGCAATTAATTTAGCTCATGCTACAGCACTTATGTTCAGGGTTGTGGTAAGCAACGAATGTTACTCTGCTTAAAATACTTTCAGTTTCAACGTACACCTCTGCAAAAAGCTGAACGTCAAACTCACATCTCCATAGTGCAGTTGCTGCTGAAGAATGATGCCAAGCCAAGTCTTCATCAACCAGTAAGATGTCAGATTTTTTCTCCTTAATCCATCGGGCAAAACGTCGTCTTTGGGATGGAGTTCTTTAACAGTTTGTTATTCATTTACCTAAAATCGCGAACGTTTGTTTCGTTAACGGTTGAACATTTATTAGAATTCTCACATTTTGCCAAATGGACTAGCACATACAATCGGCGACAAAATTACTTGTCCTCGAAGAAATTCTTTGCAATTTGCTCAGTGACACGACATACTTTAGCAAGAAAAAGAAATCCTTTCTCCTTCCTCCATTCTTTGAGACGGCGAAAACGGCGGCCGCGGCCGCTTTTTGGAGGTGGCCGCTTAATCGTTGTCTCATTTGAAGGTCTTTTCTACAATTATTTTGGAACTTTGATCACTGGCAGCTTATTAGGGGGTGGTTACTTAATGTAGGTTCAACTGTATGCTCTGAATATTCCTGGCTTGCCACCACGTGATAAGGCGGCCATGTTGGTGGTGTGTTTGTGGTCAATACAATTTTCCCTCGAAGAATTTACATGAAAATAGGGTTCAGTTCCCAAAGGAGAGAAATGCTTTTGTTCTTAACCAGGGTGCAAAGAAAATCCTTTTTACAGCTTGGCATTCGGGCAAGCTGAAGCTAGCATTTACTAGCCCAGACGTCATTTCAACTAGCTACAAAAGCTTTTTGACGAGTAGCGTTGATCTCACAGTTCTTCAGTTATTTGAATTCCTTAAAAAAAAAAATCACTTTCCCGTCGGGCAAGTTAAAAACAGAGTTTACTAGCCCGAGTGCAAAATCCACCGCTTGTTTTTGCGCGAAAGCGAGGCTAATGCGGGTCACTTCTCACCAAGAAGACAAAGGGCGCTTTCCATTTACGAAAAAAACCCGGAAATTTCAGTGGTAGCAAAAGTGGAATTTCCGATCGGTAAAAAGTTGTTCCATTTGGTCGTAAACCCCGGTACGTGGCCGGGTGCCCGACCGTGGACCTGGAACTGGTACAAACTACAAGAAACGTCAATGGAACACGACATTCCGTTTGGAAATTCCAACCGGGAAAACGGGACCACCTTTTTAGATTTTCCACTTTTTCTGGGAATTTTCCAGTGGGACGAACCGACGAAACGTGTTCCATTTACTGCCGAGCCGGAAATTCCGGAAATTTTGACTAAATGGAAAGCGCCCAAACAAACATGAGAAAACTGCGGATGAGTTGCCGAAGAAAAGGAAAATTTGAAACGTTCAAAGGTTTTGGAGGTCTCAAACCTTACTTACAGGCTTGAGAAATCATTGTTTGAAACAGCAAAAGGAAAATCAGCTCGTCATCACTGAGAAAAACAACCGAACCTAACCTGAAACTGACCGAGTCGGTGAGTGAGTTCAATAAAAATGCGAAGATGGTTCCAGAACCTTAAACAAGGTAATACCCTGAAGCCATTTTAATGTTATTTTCAGTGGTGGTTAAAACTTCTTTAAGCCACACGTTCCATTAGAGTGTAATTACTTGTCGAAAGCCTGCAAATTAAACTGAAACCTTCTTTTCAGTTCACATTTTTTCTAACGGAGCGAATGCAAAATGTATTTGAAAAAAAATAAACCGACGGGGCAGACGTTCTGCATAAATTCCTTGCACTGTAAGGAAGTTAAATCGGTTTAAACGAAGATGACTAAAATAGTATAGGTTTATTTATACATAAGCTTAAATTTAGCTTACATTATTTATCAAAATATTCAGTCACATAAGGAAAAACGTACGCACATTTCACTGCACAAGAACTCGAACACAGAATTTTTTACAGACGATATACTGAGCAGCTTAAACGCCGTTTTACAGAATATACACAAAAGTAAAATAGAATACTAAGAAGTAAGATAATTAGAGAAAGTAAATCATTGTCATTTTAACACACTTTACCCTTTTCAAGCTTAAAAAGTTTACTTCTTTTAGCTTCGTCGCTTTTTCCTTCCTTCTGTTAAGTACGATCATCTTTTCCCACAATTTGCAGCAGATATCCCTTTGGCTTACTGGTAAAGTTTAAGCTTTGAAATTTTACTATTTTTAAAATTTCTGTCGTTTTCCAGCGACTCGGCGGCAAATTACTCATGTTTGTTTTTGTTTTTGCAAAGAAGTTGACCTGCATTAGCATTTTTTTTTTTTCAGTATAAACCCAACTGTTCAAGGAAACATTTTTAAACAGAATTCGTTATTCATGGAATAACTTACCCGAGAACCTTAGAACTGAAGACCTAAGCCTCTCTTGCTTCAAAAAACATTGCAGAGATTTTTATAAGAATAGGGACTTTGAACCTGGGCATAAAATCGTACTGCATGTAGTCTTTTGACATAATTAGCAGTTTATATGTGTTACTTTTTGGATAATTATTTCGTTTTCTTTCTTTAATTTTACATTGTAAGACAAGCTCGTATGGTTCTTAATTCTGTTCCCTACTAGTGCTTCTCTGCTTCTTTCTTCCTGTCTGATTGTATGCAGTGTAAATGGCTTAAATTAAAACGTATCTCTGCAATACAGGTAACGCCGGGTTTATCTATTACCTGCCAAAAAGGTAGTTAAAAATGTGTCCAACGAATTGCTAATTATTTTCGCTCATGAACATGATCATTTTCTTCATAGGTAAGTCTAAAGAAACTCTCAAGAGTAGAAGAAGCTGATGAACAGGCTGCCGTCTACAGGGGAGAATATGACCTACTTGATAACTTTGTAGAAGGGATGGAACTTGTAAAAACGGGAAATAACGCCACAGTTTTTCCAGGGAATAGCGCAGTCTTATCACTTTTACAGAGGGACGAACCAGGAGAACCAGGTCATTATTTTATCGAAAGTCGTTATAATGATTGGGCAAAGGACAGCAGCAGTCTCACTGAGCTGCTGCGGGCTACGTGTCATGAGGATGCGGAACAGGCTGTTGAACTTGTATTAAATGACGGTGTAGATATTAATGCCCGAGCGTCAGACAATGATTACACAGCTTTGTTGTGGGCGAGTCGTTCATCCTCAAGTCAGTTTATTGAGACCCTCATTGATCTTGGGGCCGACGTTAATGCCCAAAGGACAGAAAGCAAAGAAACACCACTAATGTTAGCAGCTAACTGGAACAACAACATGGCAGCAAGCTTAATTGTAAAGCATGGAGCTGATGTAAATGTTCAGGATAGGTACGGATATACAGTACTTTTCACATTAGTCAGCTCTGTTAACGAAGAACTCGTAAAATTGATGCTTGAATACAACGCGGAAGTTAATATTCAAGATAATGAAGGAAAAACACCGCTACACTTTTTAGACGACGAGGTTGCAGAAAACGTTGTAAGATTGCTGCTTGAACACAATGCGGACGTCGATGTTCAAGATAATGAGGGAAAAACACCACTACACTATTTGGTCGACGAGAATGAAGAATACCTTGTAAGATTGCTACTTGAGCACAACGCGGATGTAAATATTCAAGACATTAAAGGAAAAACACCACTACACTATTTAGTCGGCGAGAATGAAGAATACCTTGTAAGATCGCTACTTGAACATAACGCGGATGCAAATATTCAAGATAATGAAGGAAAAACGCCACTACATTATTTAGTCGGCGAGAATGAAGAATTCCTCGTAAGATTGCTACTTGAACATAACGTGGATGTAAATATTCAGGATATGAATGGAGTAACACTACTGCATCTGTCAGTCGATGAAGATAACGAAACTTTCGTAACCATGTTACTTGAACTCAACGCCAATATAAATATTCAAGATAAATATGGAAATACACCACTGCATAGGTCAGTCATAAGGGGGAACGTAAATCTCGTGAGATTGTTACTTAAACACAACGCAGATGTAAATATTCAAGATAATAAAGGAAAAACACCACTACACTATTTAGTCGACGAGGATGAAGAATTCCTTGTAAGATTGCTACTTGAACATAACGCGGATGTAAATATTCAAGATGCGGAAGGAGCAACACCACTACACCTGTCAGTCGATGAAGGAAACGAAGCTGTCGTTGCCATGTTACTTGAACACAGCGCGGATATAAATATTGAAGATAATGATGGATATACACCCCTTTACCAGGCATTCGCAATTGGTGACGTAACTCTCGTGGAGCTGTTAATTGAACACAACGAAGATGCAAGTAGTTACAGGACTACCACTTCCAGACCACCCCTAATACACTTTTTCCCCTGATTCTTCTGGTTATCTTTGTCATAATTCTCTGAGTATAAATCGACTCTGTTAATTCTCTGTTTTCCACTTCCGTCATTTAACAAAATTCGATTTGAAAAAGTTAATTTCAGAACGAGAATAAAATTAAATTAATTTCCTTTCATTTACTAACGGAGAATACTCTATAGGGACTGCCTCTTACCCAGACGTCTCTCTCGATGTGCGCGCAAAGGAAGGCGGGAAGGCCGTCTGTACCCTTCCCATGGTCCCTTGTGGTGTATCACCAGTCACTCGTTTCGCGCTCGCCTCTGCCATGCGAAAAACGAAGCGCCTGAGGAGGAGGCTGCTATAGGGAAAAAAACTAGGAGAATCAGGGAAAAATGTGTATTTGGGGTAATATGGAGCGGTAATCTATAACTACTCTAGTTACTTCAATGAGTTACACTGTACTATATTTAATAGTTTTCCGTCGGTAGAAGATGTCGAGGAAAGCGACGATTCCCGTTATTTTTAATAAGCAAATTAAAAAACTCATTAATAATTCATAAGTTCATTGACCTATCGAATGGTAGATAATACATCACGTGCAGTGACATTATATCTTATAAAACCTCCTCTTATTAGAATGCGGTGTTTTATCAAATTGTATGTCTCCACATGTGACTTATGAATATTCATTAAAGAATATCAACTGACACAATAAATGGTGGATGGATATTTGATGTTCTTTCAAAATAACACACACAGTAAATTTGCTATTCCACAAAATTAAACTTGTTCTTTCATCAATTTAATCAGGCAAAAGTTCAGTGACTCAGCGGTAATATTGGCTATAGCAGTGTCCAAGCGTTGCACTCAAGACCTTTTTGTTTACCTTCCATGCGGTCATTCCAGAACAATATTTTCAAGACTACTTTTTCATTGCAATGGACCCTTCTACCGATACGGTGGCCATATTGAATTTATTAGATTTACAGAGTATTATGGGATGTCCAGGGGGCACTCGCTCAGTATTTACGCGCGCTTTTTGGGCAAAAAGAGAACTTCAATGTATATTTCTCCGGAAAAAGGCGATCATTATTACATCCAAACACGGCACAACGATCTTTTTTCCCATTAAATTTCGGATAAGGGTAAAGAAGACTCAGACGACGGAATTTACACATCGAAAATTTCGCACAAAAGGGACTGTGTAGTAGTTCTCTGGAGGGGGGGGGTCTAAAATAAGCAAAGTAGGCCTTTAGGTGAAGTTACGCCCCCCTATACTAGATGTAAATAATTTCTAATCCCCCGCTTTAAAGACAAAATCACGACTAACCCTACCCCCCTCCCTCACATCCGATCTTTGGGAGGAACTTTATAGCTTACCGAATTTTAAATTAATTTCAAACGTTCCATCTGCATGCAGATTGAGTACTCGTTCAATTAATATTGCCTTGTTTCCAGATAGCTTAGCACTTTGTTGTCGAAGATATAGTTTAAGTTGCATATTGGTCAGTCTTTCGACGTGTTTTCTGTTCTCCCGACATATATTTGTCATGTTAGTAATGTTTGTTTTGCTTGTTTGTGATTTATGTCAAACTACATATACGAGGTGACATTTTTGTTCTCGAATTTGTTTAAAGAAGCGTCTAATAACACAGGCTACTCAGTTTGCAGATTATACATCATTTCAAAAATTTTTAATATTACAGGTTCTAGGTGTGCCATGTGCTGTTCTTGATATTCTCAGAAGTCATTCAATAACAAAGAAGTTTAGTTTGAATAAATTATGTACCACTTAAATATTAATATAACTAGTAACCCCCCTATATGTTTGAAAAATTGACATCTAGCCCCCCCCGTCCTCACCCTACACCATAATTTAACTTTTTCCCTCCCCATTACATTTAGAACCCCCCACCTCCAGATAATTATTGCACAGTCCCCAAGTTCAATACCATGCGAAGCTAGCGATATCACTGTTTGGATAAAGGGCAAATCACTCACCAGTGCAGAGTTTGGTGACTTTGTTTCCTATAGCTTACAGTTGTTCTCAATGTGGTCCAGAGTTTTATCTTTTTTTTGTATCTCTCCAGGCTTTTATCTGAATTAAATTTGTGCATGACCTTGCTATGCTAATCTCCAAGGTCTGTGTCTTGTCCTGTACAGCAAGCACGACTGACTGGAGCTTCGATAAACTTCGAAAGTTCACAGCCCCCTTAAAAAGTTATCGCCATACGTACCTTTTGATGAAGGTGTAAACTAAAGCGGGAACTGCTTAACGACTTATATCTTATATCTTTCTGAGAGCAGAGGTCCACTCTCTAACCGACTAGTTAGTCTTTCTTACCGGATCTCTAATGTAGAGATGCTAATGCCAGACGTCACTTCAAGTGGAAATTAAAATAAAACTGAATGCAAGACCGGCAAAAAGGGATTAATTTTTTGAAGCCAATATTTCGGCTAACAAAATTAGCCTTCCTCAGGACCAGAGCTACACTGAAAGGGAATACTATAAAGGCCCCTAAAATTTGGATTTATTTCTTGATATCTTCACCCCCCTCCCTTCCTTCTAAAGCATTTTTGCCAAAACGGATTTTTTTGCGGGCATTTAATAAACACTCAGGTAATACAGAGAAAAAGATACACTAAATAATAAGTTAATCGCAACGATAACAAAACCAGTTTCAGTTTTTAAACATTTACAATTTTTTTAGTACGCTTACGACAAAAAATTACAGCAAATTAGCAACGAGTTGCTAATATATTTAACTTTTAACAGTGAAAGCAAACTTGAAAGCAACCTTGGCTTTGATTTACTTCGCTTAGCTCTTGGAAATCTCTCCAAAAATGACCACCGGGAACCCCTCCCATTGACGTAAAAAACAAGAACAAAGTATCTGAATGACAAGCATACAATTTTACATTTGTGGGGACGGAAAAACCAAAAAAAGATGAATTGTTGTTCGTGATTTCTGCAACTTCTCATGTTGCCCTGGTGTAGTGAGAGGCCGCAGAATACGAGGTATTCGCCCAGAAGAAAAGGAAAGCAGATTACTAACACTACGCTGCATCTCTTTTTTTGTTATCATACAGGCGAGCTTTCTTTTTTAGGGGTGGGGGAGGGGATCTTTTCTTTTGGGAAGGAACTTCTGAGTTCTTTCCCAAATAATGAAAGACGGGAACTTTGCAAGCGCGACGAGTATTGCGGCAGGAGTTTGGCTTCATACTCAAAACAGAGGCACTCTAAAAATGTTCTCGGATTACGTACATCGAACCAGTTTGAGCTACGACTTTATGGTGTAACGCACACTATATCAAGGAGTTTTAAAACACAACTCAATACGCATGTTTATTAAATGGCTTAAATGGCTGAGTCCGCGAGAAGGCAAGAAGAAGCGAATCCTTTTTCCTGTTTTCTGGGATTTCCCGCTTTTGTTCCGCAAAGGTGAGTTCTCTTTTTCTGCTTCTTGGCCATATAATAAATCCTTTAAAGTCGAAACTTGTTCGGTTCATAATGTCGGATATTGGCCTTGTTCGTTTTTTCCATTTTTATTGACCTCGACTTTGTTTCGTTCCATAAAAACGCAGAAAAGAACCCGGCCAATATCCAGCCTTCTTGACCGAACAATCTAGATAGATAGATAGATAGATAGATATTTTATTGGTATAGACATAACGAACAGCTCAATAATACGGACAGCAGCTAGATCCCCTACAAAAATATATTAGAGATGTTTAAATGAAAAACAAAAAACTCTTGCTATTACGGACTCTCGCTAATGAGGACATTTGACTCAAGGTCGCTATGCGTACGGTGTTCGCTAGTATAAAGGGAGTTGACTTGTATAAAGGGACTCTACATATTAAATAAAATATACAAAATACCAAGAAAGTTTCATTAAAATCTAAAATTGATGGCTATTCTTATGGGTTTACGTGACGGCAATGGAAACTAAAACAATTCCTGGCCCTTTAAGTTTAAACTTGACGTCAAAGTCCTGGCAAAAGTGATGGAGACGGTGATCTCTGCAATCTAAGATATTATCGAAAAGGGACTGACATAGGCTCTGACAGTAAACCACTAGTAACTCTAGGACTAACGAAGCTTGAGCGTTGTCGTAGGATAAAGTGGGGCATATGATGGAGAGAGCCCTCTTTTGTACACCCTCCAAATCGTTGATTAGGAACTGAGGTAACGAAGCGTGAAACACAGGAATCGCGTAATCACAAACAAACCTTATGTAGTACAACATTAGACTCGTACCCAGTTGCCATTGATGTGTTTTTGGGGTGAGAGAAGATTGAGGGTTAGGTTGAGGCGCGCGGGGTCTTATGGGAAGGTAGGTATCTAAACTTGCCTTGGGGATTTGCCGGGGGTAAAGACTTGTGAGAAGGATGATTTGTGTAGAAGAAACAAGAGAAAAAGAAGAAACTTAGAAACAGAAATTGGCGGAAGCTTTGAAATCTGAACAGTGTAAACTTTTAAATGACAGCGCGAAATCAGAACTAAGAACAATGTTGGGTTTTTCTGGAAAATGAGAGCAGCAGTGATATAAGTGATGATGATCAAAGTAGTGGCGAAAACGACAGAAGTAGCACCAGTGACAACAAAGACAGAGTAAGAAATAGTGATGGCGGGGCCAATGATAACAACGTCAGGAGGAGGAATCAGGAAGTGCCTTTGATAGCTCAGGCACTGCAGTGAAAGCATCGACGACAGCTGTAGTTCAAATGACACTCAATACTACCAGCAGCCCTTCTCGCCCCCCATTTTGAATCACCGCTGTGTAAAATGCTCGTGGAAGGCTAAAAAAATGCGAAACAACCTTTCTATAGACCCCTTGAATTTTGATACGTGACTAGTTGCTAGGTGTGACGCACTTCCGGAAGATGAGTTACACAGTGCAATGAGGCGCGCCGAAGCACTCTGCGCTGAAGTATGAAGATTGAAGAAGAATTCAATATTATTCAAAATTGAAAAGAATTGCTTCTGTAAAGAGAAAGAAATCGGCAGAAAAACAAACCAGAGGATTAGG